GGGGGGGCAACAGAAGAATAAAGATTCACGGTGGCGACGACACGCGATCGAAGGCAAAGGAATGCGCAAAAGGTACTCGCATGTCTCGCCGCCGATAACTCCTAAGGGAGAGACGGTGGGAGAGAGACGATTGAAGCGTGAAAAGCAAGCACGAAACGGCTTCTACACGATTCGTGACGTGCGTGATCTCAGGGCGACGATCCTTCGCTAGCTAGACTAAGGAAACGGATGAAAGAAACGCTAAATAATCCGGAAAGGAAATAACGCAAACCAAACGATCGCGGTAACGCATCTCCGACGTTGGAGTCAAACGCAGGTGCTGGTGCAGGGTCACTTGTACATCTCGCCGAGCAAATATCTCACAATATCTCACGTACAACGGGTCGCAATGTGTGCAGACTCGTAACGAAATTTTGCCGTCAGAAAACATTGACTGATCGATCTCGGAATAGCGAACGGGTGTTCCGTCACGGTCAGTTATGAGATATTGTCGGGTATACAGTCGCAAAAGTGACGGGATATCAGAAGCGGCCGGGAGAGAAATAGTGATGGTGGTGGTGGTGATGGTGGTAGTGGTGGTGAACTGGCGGTACGTTTAATGGCGATAGTGCAGCTGGACGACGTGAAAAAACGGTTAAGGCTCGATCCTCCGCATTCACTCACACACGCACACACGCGCACACAGGCGTGCGCGCGCGCGTGTGCGCGCGTAACGTACAAACGGACAACAAACGGACGCAAAATCGGATCTTCTGCTTCCATTACCTTTCAACCCTTGTACGAGCGAGAGAGAGAGGGTGGGGAATGAATTAACACGAGCGGATGAACGGAGGCACGAGAGAAGGTGGCGAGGACTTACCAGCCAGATATTGTGGGACTTATTTGGAGGTGTGCAGGTGTAGGGCAACATTGACCGCCCTATTGATTGGGTGACACCCTCTCGGACCACCCGGTTCAGCACCGAGGATACCGGGGGAGCAGAGGGCCCGCATCCTTTTGCGAAGTCGCGCTTCCGTCTCACTTATCTCGAAGGTTGCTTTCCGGGGGGGTAGGATCCAGTTGGCACTGAAAACCAACACGTCCGATTGACCCCGGATCAGGGATTCGCACAGTTTTTCGGTCGGTCTTACTTCGTCGATTAACGCAATCGCTCTCGACATCACTTTCGAGTGTGATTTATACACGAGACTGACAAAAACCGTCGGCGAGGTCGTCAGGGAGGAAAGGCTCGGAAGAGGCTCTCTCAACGGCGAACCTTTTCCCCACCAGACCTCGCTCTGACGCCCTAACGCTCTTCTACCGACCGTTCTCTTTCGTTCTCTCCCCTTCTTCTCCTCCTCCTCCTCCTCCTCTTGCGTCTTTTCTCTTCTCTACACTCTTTCTCTCACCGTTTCGCACCCGAGTCTTAACGATAACTCTGCTCTTTTGCCCCCCTCCCTAAGCCGACCGAGTCCCGTAATTGATCACAGTACACTATCTATCCCTGCAACGTGCCTGCTCTTTCTTCTTGCCTCTGTCTGATCATACGGTACCGCCACCCGACACGGGGTAGAGGGGTAAGGATGGAAAATATCAAAAGTGAATACAGGAAACTGTGCTCCGCAGAGCGTGAGACTACGTCCAGATCAGGGAGAATAGATAGAGATCTATATGGAAGTATGTGTGTACCTAGTTATCGGGGCAGGAAAGCCTTGTGCCGCACACGCCAGCGCCAGAGACTCGCCCTCTACCCCGCGGTACTTAAGACCGTCGCCAGTCCCCTTTGGGGCAGTACGACCGGACGGTTCTGAAATAATAGATTGCCCAAAGTGAAAGAGAGCTTCCTCTTTCCACGACGATCTCATCATATTCCTTGTTTCCCCGAAACCGGTGCGCGACTAAGAGTATGATAATATACGTACCCCACATCATGTCATCGCGTTCGTCCTGGCTCGACTCTAGAATCGTCGCATGCAATATACTCACCTGACAATAATGCCGGCCACACCGGATGGAGACGATTAGAATGTCACGATGGGTTCAGATTTGACCACCAGTCGCTGCGTGACGCTCACAAGTGACCACAGTATGGAAATGATATCGCGCAATATCTCATGAAATTCATTTTATTTCCATATTACTGTCGAGCATACGTGTCGTACAGTCATACTACGTATAGAAAAATGTCGGGCACAAAATTCAGATCGATTCCGCTATCTATTTATCTTTATTCTCTGTCGTTCGATGGAAAACAGAAAAATGCGCGATCTCAGCGACTTGTTGTAACTTGATTGGACTCATCGACGACGACGACGAAGAACGGATACGAATTCGGAGGAGGACTTGTGTGATCTGGAATCTACCTTGTGACAGGCACAGGATATCCCTGAAGAGAATGACTCAACGCGATGTCCTGACCTATAGAAGCCAGAGCGACTTCCCACCCAAATTTCTTTCCCGACGATCGCGGCGCGATCTTGCTTGTGCCCTCTGAAACGGAGCCGTGAAGAAAAGAAACGGGGTTTTTCGATTCGGTTCTTACTGATATACCTTGTAAATGGGACAGGAAAACCCTGAGTCGCGCAGTCCAAGGCCGCCGTACCCGTCATTGGTACATCTACTAGCTTGTGACCCTCGTAACGCTCACCGGCAATGCGTGGCGCAACATTGCCGGTCGGCTCTGTAAGCAGCATCGGTGCGAGAAAACGAGCTAGCTGGTAGAAGTTACACTTTTGCTTCACTGTATTATGTTTCATGTCAAATTCGTATTATGCTTTAATGTAGTCGAAGCAATTCTAGATATGCTTAATCCGGCTTCCGGGTTAGTGCCGCGTCCTTTACGGATGTTTTTTCCTCTGACGTTTTGTGAACATTCCAGTTCATCGGAAGAAGTCACTTCTCGAAAAAGTCATTTCCTGAAGAAGTGAGCTGTAATGTTCACAAAACGTCGGAAACAAATCCATGAAGGACACGGCGGTAACCCGAAAGCCAAATTAAGCATTTCATCACACCGTAAAAGCTTGAAAGGTCGAATGAAATTCTGAATACGAAGTAAAAAGGCGTTTTCTTCCTTTTTCGTTCATGAGTGAGGTTTCTTCTGCAATTTCGTTAGAATTGGGTAAGTCAATTATAAACACAAATTACGTATTCCCTAACGCGAAATTTTAATTCGGATTGTCGTTTGCATATTGGCAGTAAACGCCTGTACCTGAATGTGGGAGCTGGGAAACCTTGAACAGGACATGGTAGGCCAACCATCAGTTCGACTAGAATATCCTTCCTCAATCCGTTCACATCCTTGTCTCGTACGTTCGGACGTACGCTGCCCCGTGGCTCTGCAATAGCGCAAATAGTAGGGAAAATGGGGAAACGCGGCTCCGTCTTCGTCATCGTCGTCATTATCGAGCGCGCTCGGTCGATGCACGGCACGCGAAACGCGGCTGTCACAAAATGTGAAGATAACGATTGATTACTCTTCTCTCATGAACCACATTGTGAATAATAAAATATTTCTTCGCTTCGAATTCCTCACGCAGTTTCGCTCAAATTTTGCACAATTATAAATTAAGTTTCGAAGAATATCCCCAACAATTTTATCACATAAATACTTGATAAACCGTGAGAAAACTGCTATTGTTACGTTGAATGCTCGACTTTGCTCACCTGAACAAAGGCAACGGACTGGCCTGAGCATCGCAAAGCAACGTTACTGCTTGACCCTGGATTTTCCAAATTCCATCAAATTTGGATCTAGGCGGCAATCGAGGTGGACTACTTCCAACCGGTTCTAAAAACGAAAAGGGCAAGAGGTTCACCAGCTACCGAGCAGTCAATCGATATCTTCACGTGTTTGCTTCAATACGGAGTACATGATCGGCAAGATGCCGACTTTCCATGCTAATAAAAACGAATCTATTACTCTTCCTGACCTTCGAAAAAAAATATAATGAAAATTGCCGCTAAATATTTTTATTCGAGTTCCTGCTTAAGTTGGAGCATATATTCTGGGTGAAAGATTTCTTCTGAATGCGCACAAGTGCAGCGGAGATAAATCTCACTCGGGGCCACCTCGCCTTCTTACATGTATTCTCATTCCGAAGAGATTCCTACCAACGAGAGCAACAATCGAACCTGCGTCGGCATACCTGAAGACAGGAAGTGGATTCGCTTGAGCCTGACACAGCATCGCCATGGCGGTTCGCGAGGCGA